GGAGCGGGGGGAGCGGCGGCGAGGGCGCAGGGCCTCTCGGTTGCTTCTTCGTTCATTCCCCTTCCGAAGCTGTTCTGGTCTTGTGATGCCTCCCTGCGCTGTTTGAGCCTTCTGTAGGTCCTCCGTATTTTGGTGTTTGTTTTGTTTTGTTCCTTTTTTTTTTTCTTCCCACTTTTTGTTTTGCTGTAGGGACTGGATCTGGTGTGTAGGTTTGTTCTGTGTGTGCTGATCTTGGCAGATACTCTGAAGTTTCGCATTAAATTCTATATAGTTATATTCTTCATGCAAGAGCATTCATGCTCACACATGAGAATTTGGAAGTAAGGTATATCATTAGATGAAACAATCATATTGGTCCTCGGTGGCAGTTAAAAAGCATGTCAAATATTAGATATTTGCAGGAAAGGAATGAATGTCCCAGGAAAAAAACCACCAAGCCACAGTATAAATCTGTGGTCACCTATAGCTTAAATATCATGTGCAGCTGCAGTTGCCTTCAAAAAGGGCAGTGAGGATGAGCTATATGGTAAGATACTTGTAAAACAGTAAATGGGTTAAATGGGGTGGGTTAAGACTCTTCCATACGGAAAAGAGATTGCAGAGTGGGGAAGGGGGTCAGGTTCAGTGTCTGTGACAGCCCGAACAGCAGCGGGAGAGCGGGCAAGGGATCGAGCTCCCCGTCAAACCAAAGTGGTAGCCGCGTTCACGGCAAGAAGCTCTTCATAAGCTCGAACGCTATATTAGGGAACACTGTCAATCTTAAGAATATCTTCATGTGAATTTAAATGAGGCTGAAAAAAGTGTTTGGAAAAGAACTAAATTCACAAAATAATGAGTTTAAGTTCAGAAATATCTCCCCAGTCAAAAATGGTTAAAGTCGGGGAATATATACTGAGGAAGCATCCCACACGCTTGCCTCTTGTGACTCTCCCTGAGGCTTCTGCTTTGACTTCTTTTAGAGGCAAGAGACTGGTCTCTGTTGGCCCTTGAATGCCTCTAATGCAGCTTTTTTATGAACCATTTGCTATGGACGTCAATAAAAATCTGTCCAGATTTAGTCTTGAAATGGAATCCCCCTCAGACCTGCGACAGGGGAGCTGCTTGTGGCTCACAAAGTGTGAACCAGAAGCCCAGGTCTGTGGTTCAGCCTTCCCTTTCATCCACCCTTCACGTTCTTTGGGGACCTGGGGCTGAGGTCCGTGCATGTGTGAAATAGCTGGAGCTGGAAGGGAGTGCAGCGAAGCCTGTCCTGGGGGCAGCGGGGCGCGTGTGAACCCTTCTCCTCGCTATCCAGTCCCTCTGATGGAGACCTTGTCTCCAGCCACCTCCTGGGGCGCAGCCGGGTGCCTTTCCTCAGGGAGGGGTGCCACAGTCCTGCCTTCCCTGGTCTGTGTTGCACACATCATAGGTGATGAGCTGTGTCTCAGATGCCGTTTTGCATGGCTTGGGGAGATCAGAGTTATGTTTTGCTCGAAGTTTTGTGCGATTTGTCCTTAGATTCAAGTTGCTGTAGAATAAAATCTTTTCTGAAGTTGCATGTGTGCCCTTTGTCATGCTGGTGAAAGATCCAAGGGACTGGTGCTGTCCGTCCCTCACTCCCTCAGAGGCTGGCAGAGTGGCTTTCCAGTGGCACCAGTGTTTCTTGGCCAGTCTTTCCCCTCTCCAGCTAGGGGGCATTTTATTACAGTAAGGTGACCTCTTTAGTGGACTGTGAAAGGGTGAACAAGAGCAGCACAGCGGCGTGTTCCTCCGCTGACGCATTTACCAAACAGCATTTTTAGGTTTTGCAGGGGGGCAGGAGGCAGCAGGTGAGACGCTGCCTGACTGATGGGGCTGGCAGCCGGGGCCTGCAGGGGGATCTGCTGGGAGCAGCTCCACAAGAGCAGCGTGCGCCTCCGTGAGGAGTACACTGAGATGCCTCCTTCTCTGTGCTCCTTGGAGACATTCCGCTCTGTACTGATGGCATTTAATGGGGTGGCTTGGCAGCTGTAGGGGCCAAGGTAGCTGCGTGCAGGGAAGGGCTGGGGAGCCTTTGGTCACCTCCATGTCCTCGTCCTGTGTGCCCTGTGCGAGCTGCAGAGTGCAGTATGACATGCACATGCAGTATGACAGTGAGGTGGATTAGGAACTGGCTGGATGGCAGGGCCCAGAGAGTGGTGATCAGCGGTGCAGAGTCTAGTTGGAGGCCTGTAGCTAGCGGGGTCCCCCAGGGGTCAGTCCTTGGTCCAGTCCTGTTCAATTTATTCATCAATGACCTGGATGAAGGCACAGAGTGCTCCCTCAGCAAGTTTGCTGATGACACGAAACTGGGAGGAGGAGCTGATACCCCAGAGGGCTGTGCTGCCATCCAGAGGGACCTGGACAGACTGGACAACTGGGCGGTGAGAAACCTCATGCAATTCAACAAGGCCAAGTGCAGGGTCCTGCACCTGGGGAGGAATAACCCCAGACACCAGTACAGGCTGGAGACTGACCTTCTGGAGAGCAGCTCTGTGGAGAAAGACCTGGGTGTCATGGTGGATGACAAGTTGACCATGAGGCAGCAGTGCGCCCTCATGGCCAAGAAGGCCAATGGGATCCGGGG